TCTCACTCTCTGTCTGTCTCTCTCTGCCCACTCCTCGTTTGGACCCAGCAAGCGGCCTGGCCAGCTCTCCCTGGGGGGCCGCCAGCCCCAGCCTCCAGCGGCTCAGCTGTGTCTCCTCTGTCGCCTCTAGCTCCTCTGACTCTCTGAAACTCCTCCTGTCTGTCACTCATGTAGCTGCTGCCAAGAAAGGTACAGAGTGGGTCCCCATGTTTGTACATCTTGCTGCCATGCTAGGGGCTTGGCCCAGACCAGCTGGAGGGCCATGACCCAGGTGCCAACTGCCAGCATCATGAATGCTGAGGGGCAGCCAGCTGTGACTACAAGTCCCAGCATGCATCTGTGAAGATCAAATTGGAGCAGTGCATGCTGGGATATGTGGTGTCTCCAGACATTCAGGATGAGGTAATTGGGGCCACCATTTTATCAAGGGATTTGCTCATATGCCCAGAACTACCTGTACATACAACATCAACCCACAGCTCTCACCCACTGCCCTGCCCCCGCCACTGCACACCAGTGCGTTGTGTGCACCGTCAGCCCCACAGCTCTGCCCACGCCGCTCAGTCCCAACCTGCAGCCCCCTGCTAGCCCTGACCTGACTTCTCCTGCACACAGTTGTGCTGGTGCCCGTTGATCCTGACCCACACGTTAGCCCTGAGCTCCACCCCACCCCATTCTGCCAAAGTCCCTCAATCCTGACCCCATAGTGCCCCTTGCAGTTAAGACCAGGGACCCTCACCCCCAGCTCTGCCAATGCCTCTCAGTCCTGACCCACAGTCCCAGTTTTGGGATCCCCCAAGTATGGTATCTGTAGCTGCCGTTTGTACCCGAGTATTCTGATGAGCATTTAGATTCTGGCTTATTTATCTAGGTCCTTTGCATTTTCTCTCTTTCCCCGGCCCCACCTCCTTTCTTCTTTGTCCCAAACAGTTCACTCTTTCTCCCCTTCCCTTCACAGATTTCTTTGCCCCCTGTCGCCCTCAGCCTGTGACCCAGGTGAGTAGCAAGTAGCAGCTGCCCCCTCACTGCTCAGCAATGCCCCTGTCCTCTGCCTGCAGAGATCAGCTGACCCCACATTCTTCTCTCCCCCGCCCCCACTGCAAGGTCTGTGACCTCTTCTCTGGTGTCACAGGCCCCCTGCTGGGGAGGGCTGGGCAGTGAAGCCTCTCCCCTGGGCTTAGTGTCACGGTGGCCCCCGCATTCCCTCTGGGCTCCTGGCACTGGCCACTGTTGGCTGACAGGACGCTGGGCTTGGTGGAGCTCTGGTCAGACCCAGGATGGTGGTTGTTATGTTCTCTTCCCCAGGCCTCCACGCTGCTGCCAGCCGCTTCCCCACTGGGCTCTCCATCCAGCACTTGTGATCTGGACGTGACCCCCAGCACCAAGGAACTGCCCCTCCCAAGCAACTCCCTCACCCCCCTTCCCTTCCCCCTGGAGCTAGAGCCCCTCACACCCCTAAGTGGGGACCAGACCTTCTTGCCACTCTTCCCCACCTCCCCGCTGCGGGTCAGCCCGTCCCCACCCAGCCCTGCCATGCAGCATCTCCAGCCTGCCCTCCTGTTCTCCGTCATCACCCATACGGCCGCTGAAAAGCCCCCTTCTCCCACCCCTGGCATGGATGCTCAACACCCTCCTTCCCCTGGGGGCACCTTTGCTGTGCCTGTGTCTGGCCCCCCACCCAAGGGCGGAAGGTCCCGGCAGCTACAGAACATTGCCCCAGCACCCACCTCCAGCCAGACTCTGGCTTCCCCCAGTACCTTCCTTACCCGCCTGCTCATAGCAGGTATGTGGTTGCAGGAGCAGTGCTACCTGTTTGCTTGGCATTGGGGGGAGTGGCTATTGTGGTGGGATGAGAGGGAGGGGGTGTGGGGTAGGGAGGTGTCTGGGTGGGCATTGTTTTAAGGGGAGGGCAGATAGGGATGTGTGCATAGGGCACGCTTCGGAGGTGGTGGGGGGGGGAGTTGCTGATGGGCTGGGCACAGAGAGTTGACATTGGGGTGGGGGATGAGGCACTTGGGGGGCAATGGCAGGGGGCTGAGAATAAGGGGTATTGCTGGTGAGAAGTGCAGGGGAGGACTGTTGGGAGAACAGTGAAATTGGCGAGAGAGGGTGAATGGGGGTGTCCACAGGGCAGGAGAGCCCCTCCCAGGACCCAGGGTGGCTACTTAGAATCCGTGACGTCCATGACAGAGTTGTTCTCCTCTACCCACCTCACTTTGTCCCCAGGTCCATCTCTACAGCCCCTCGCTCCAGCCAGGAACTCTTCTCAGGTGAGTGTGCCCCTGCTGGGGAGGGCGAGGTTGGGTAGCTGTAAGCTCCTCCCACTCCCAGCCCCAGTGCAATGTCAATCTGCCCAGGAGCAATCAATCTGTTGGGTTTGGGGTTGCCCCAGTGCTTGTGCTGGGCAGATTGCTGTCCTTCCCTGCTGACTCTCCCCTCCCCTCTCTCCTCTAGGTTTGCAGCCTCCCTGAGCTCACCTCAGACATCCAGCTGATGAAGAGGCCCACTCACCCTTGCTCTGCCACAGCCCCTTTGGGTGCTGGTAAGATGGGGTTGCTGCTGTCAGGCCCCTTGTCACTTGGGATCTCGCTAGGTGCTTGGCTTTCGGGGGCAATGGGGCAGGGAAGATGTGTGATGGGTCTGGGGAAAAGCATCAGGCCACAGGGGACGCAGGACAGGGCCAGGGTAGTGTTTATCTCAGCAGAGGAACTGGAACTTGGTAGATTCATGTGTGACTGGAAGGATAGCAGAGCAGGGGCCGATTGGGAGGATGGGGCGTATAAAGGGGGGCAGCGTGGGGGTCTGAGAGGATGGCAAGGGGGCATGATGGAGGATCTGAGGGAATATAAAAGAGGGGCTGCCCTGGGGATCTGAAGCATGGCTCGGAGGGGGGCCTAGGGTCATGGGAGTGATGGCAAGGTGAAGGCTGGCTGTGGGATTGGGGGACAGTAATGTGGGGGCTGGCTGGGAGGTCTGGGTGAGGGTGGTGGGGTTGGCTCAGGGAAGTAGGGAGCCCAGGGGGGTGTCACCCTGCAGTGCCTACTGGTGGGGGCCCAGGCTGCCCAGATCAAGGGACATCAGTTGTTTGGCACGAGGCTGATCATGCCCAAGAGGGTCAGGTCTGTGGTCTGCACCTGGCTGCAGGGGCTGGTTTGGCCCTGGGCTGGCACTGGCTGGGGCTGATCTGGAATGTGGCATTCTGGGGAGGCTGTAGCTTTAGGCTCCTCCTATTAGCAAGGTTGAGGCTGGGGAGGGTTCTGGGCATCACTGATCCCTCAGATCCCATTGGATTGGGGCTGGGGGTGGATTCTGGACCAGGCATGGGGCTGGGCCCTGGGCCCTCCTCCCTCTGACTTGAACTCTTCTGCAGTGGGGCTGGGAATGATCCCACGTGGGCAGGTCTGACAGGCTTCCTCACCAGCTTGTGTGCTCAGAAGTGCTGGGTGGCAGGGCTGCGCTGCATGTCTTACTGGGCCCTGGGGGGCAGCATCAGTGTCTTGCCCTCAGGAGCCACCCAGACGTTCCTCTTCATCTCCTTTTGGCTTCCTCCAGATGCCAAGGCCAAGGACAGAACCCAGCTCAGGGGACCCCACACTCCTCGCCAGCCCTGCAGCCTCCCCCACACCAAGGTAACATGGGCCCTTGTCGCTCCCTCACATGTTGGGTGGGTGGCAGGACTTCCTAGGGAAAGTGCTGCAGGGAGTGGGGTGAGGGCTCAGCAGAGGATGCTGTCTCCCCACAGTCAGTGCTGACATTAGGGGGCACTGTGCTGCTGGTGGGGTTGGGCCTCGGTAAAGGGCGCTCTCCCTTCATCCTGGGTGCTGAGCTCAGTGCCCCATGGGTGCCAGGCATGGGCTGGATGGGTCTGACTGCCCCTGTGATTGCTTCTGGCTCCAGGCTGTTGGATAGGTTTAGGCTCCGCTCTGATCCCTGGGGCAGAGCTCAGAGCCTGTGTTTTGGTTGGACTCTGCAGGGCAACCGACAAGCCGGCTTTAACTCCGCTGACCACGCCCGGCGCATGAACATCAGCTGCGCCTTCGACACTCTCGCCAGCCTGGTGCTGCCAGGCCCTGCCCAGCCCAGTGTCAAGGTACATGCCCCGTAGCCCCCAGCTGTGCCCTCTATCTCTGGCTCCCCTCCATTGTGCGGCTCCATCGTCTCCAGCAAAGGGTGCTGGGATACTTGGGGAAGGGTCCTCTCCTCTCCCACTTTGCTGTGCTGGCCCAGTCCCTCTTCCATCCCCGTCCTCCACCCTTGTCTGTCCTCCACCCTTGTCCTTCCCACCCTCTCTCCCCATCCCTGTCCCTCCCTGTCTCCTCTGTGCATCCCCGGTCTTCTTCCCTCCCACGCTGTCTCCCCCTCTGCCTGTTGCTGGCTGCTGTCTCACGCTCTGCCTGTCTCCCCAGCTCAGCAAGGCCATGCTCCTGCAGAGGAGCGTGATGTACGTGGAGCGGCTGCAGCAGGAGCGCCGGCAGGTGCAGGAGATGGCTCGATGCCTGCGGGGCGAGATTGAGGAGCTGAGCGCTGCCATTGGGTAAGTGTGGAGAGGGGGTGGGACTAGGTCACAGCTGTTGGGTGAGTTCGGGGAGGGGGCGGGGCTGTGCCCTTGACTGGTTTTACCTTCTGCCCCCTCTTGCCCCAGGGAGTTCCAGCGCCAGCTGCCCCCCAGCGGGGCCCCGGTGGCATCGCCGCGCTCAGATCACACGGCCCAGCTGTATGACGACTACGTGCGCCAGCGCACCCTGCAGAACTGGCGCTTCTGGCTCGTATCCGCAGTCCTGGATGTGTCCAGAGCCTCCAAGGAGGCAGGGACATCACAGGGCCCTGGCTGGGAGGGGGCAGGGCTGGCACGTCTCTGGGGATGGGGTGGGGCAGGACTGGGAGCTGTGGGGGCAATGACAGTCTCTGCAGAGTGGGGGTGACCCCTTCTGGGAGAGGGAGCGCTGGAGGGCAAGATTGTGGGCTTCCCCCCGCAGGTGGTGGATGGGGGGAGGGCTGAGGCAGCCCTTGGAGGCTGCAAAGGGGGAGGCAGGTGAGAGGTAGATTCTCCTTAACGCCCCTCCGCCCACAGTTCAGTGTGCTCATCAAGCCGCTGTTCGAGAGCTACCGGGGGGCAGTGAGCACCAGCAGTGCCAAGGAGTTCTGCCAGTCGGTGCTGGACTGGCTGGAGCAGCCCTGCGCCCTGCCCATGCTGCGTCCTGGTACGTCCCTCCCCCACCCCAGGCCCAGCAGGGAAGGGGAATTTCCAGCCTTTTCAGGAGTTTGTGACCCCCCTCGGCCTCCAAGAACACCCCAAATCCCTGAGGTAGGGCCCCATAGCACCCAGAGATGGACATTTGTTCATCCTGCCTGCCATGGGCGTCCCCTTCCACCGGGCACAGAGAGGAGACAGGATGTAACCTGTGTCCGAGCCAATCAGCGGTGGAGATGGAGACAGAACCCAAGAATTCCTAGACACCCTCCTGCTCTAGCCACTAGACCCCACTCCCTCCCAGAGCTGGAACTAGAACCCAGGGGTCCTGACTCCCAATCTGTCCACTCCCCTGCTACCAATTAGACACCACTCCCTACGTCCCAAGCCTTTCTGAATCCCACCCCTACCAGACACCAACTCAGGTGGGTTGCTCTGGAGTGTGCCTGCCCTGGCTTCAGTGTCACCCCTACTCCCTGGGCATTCTGTCTTGTACCTGAGATGGGGCAGGGCTTTCTGAGCTGCCTCCTCTGTGCCTGTCCTGCAAGGCCCAGCTCAGGCTCTCTTCTCCCCCCCCCACCTCCCAAAACCGGCAGGCTTGTGGGGAAGGAGGTGGGTGGGTGGTTCCCATCTGGAGCTAGTGCTAATCTCCCCTTCCTCTCACCCTGCCAGCTATCTCCAGCTCCCTCCTGCAGCTCAGCAAGCTCACGGCCATCCTGACCCAGCCCTCGCGCCTCCCCGAGCAGGCCCTACAGGCCGTTGGCCGCCCCCCGCATGGCAAGGGCCACAGCTAGTGGGTGCCATGGTGCTGTGCCAAGACATCCCGGATGGCAGGGACTCAGCCATGGGTCCCTTCCCACCATGGGCCGCGATGCAGGACTTCGGTAGCAGCCCTGGCAGTGGGAGGCTGAGTGATCTACAGAGAGTGGAGAACTGGGGACTCGGGCTGGGCATCCCTAGAGAGGAGAATGGGGAATGGCTTAGAGCTGGGATCCCCTGTAGCAAGGAGGATCTGCATGGGGGCTCCGAGCTGGGGATTCCCCTATGCCCCTCCAGTGATGGGGAGCTGAGGGGATAAGTAGAGGGCCCCCTATAGCTCCCCTCCATGGGGTGCGAGGCTGCTGGCAAGTGAACATGCCTCTGAACAGTGACAGTGGGAGCTGTATTAAATGCCCAGCATGAGAGACACACCAGCACCTTGCATCTCTCCTTGCTGTGGGGAGCAGGGGGTGGCAGGTGGGTGGGCTGAGCCAGGCAGTGCTGATTGGCCTGGCCCCAGAAGGGATGGGTTGCTCTGGTTTCTCTGCATGTCTCCCTGGAGTTACCCCCACCTGTGGCTGACACAACCCCTCTGGTCAGAGATTTAGCCTCACTGAAGCGCATAGCTGCTGGCCACCCCCATGGCCCGTGTCAGCTGTCAACCAGCTCAGAGCCCAGGGCAACATCCCCAACCCCTACCCCGAGCCAGGGCTCCCTCACCCCATGTGAGGTGCTGGGTCTTACTTCCTTTCCTCCTCACCCAGCTTTGAAGTTCCTTGCCCCGCACGGGGTGGATTAGCCCCCATGGTGCTCGTTTGCTGGCACTGCCTAGGGACTGGCAGGCCTGGAGCAGCAGACCTGGGGCGGGAAGGAATGAGGACTCCTGAGCAGCATGGGGGGGCAGCCCCCTCCGTGCTTGGTACCTTGGTTTCCTTGTGGTGCAGAGGTCTGTGGTTAGGAGGTACATGGTGGGTTTAACCCCAAATAGCCCAGCCTGGGCCAGGAGATATGGACACTCAGCCTGCATGGCCTGCTCTCAGCTCAGCCATGAATGGGCACTGGCCAGGCCAAGAGCCAGCAGCTATCCTGAAGGCCTGCCAGCCAGCCATGGCACAGGGGAGTCCTCAGCATGCTACAGCCTGCACTCACAGCCAGTGTCCCCAGAGGGGAAAGACCCCCCCCCCCTTCCCCAGCCTCAGCCAGCCTCCCATCCTGGGGCCAGGTCTGAGGGAAAAGCCCCCTCAGGCCCAGTGTCCGTCACGGGATGACTTAAGTGCTCTTTTGCACTGTGAGGTGGGGACTGCTCCAGGCTGAATGGCCTGGGCTGGTGAGTGCTTCTGCCCCATGGATTCCTGCGGGCCTGGGAGTGGGGTGGGACTTGGCCATTGAGGTTGGGTTGGAGGGGTGGGGGGAGTCGTGTGCCCTGTTTGGAGAAATCACACAATTCCAGCTGCAGCTGCTGGGTGTCCTGTTCCTCCTGTAGGCCAGACCCCCCTGCCATGATCTGTTTGCACTCAGGGCCCTCAGAAGACAATACAGCATGGTGCTAGACTAGGGGGTAGTGCTGGACTGCTGTGTGCTGGAGCTGAGCCGCATGTGCTAGGCCAGACACTTCTGTGAGGCTGTGGAGGGGGTGTATTGGCTAGAACCAAATCTGCTTCTGCAACTGCTTAATGTCAGCTGGGTACCAAATGGGTCCAGAACCTGCCCATTAGCCAGATAGAGTTACACAGCAGCTGGCTCTAGACTGCTTGCCTTATTGGGTCTCCCCAGGGCTCTAGAACATGCCCTCGCCGGCTGTGATGGCTTATAGGCCTGCTGCGGCATGGTTCTGGAGAGCTGGCACAGTCTGGCCAACACATGGGGAGGGGAACATGGAATGCAACGGTTCCAGCGTAGCAGCTTGACTCGGGTTCTTGAGCAGGCAGGAGGTAGAGCAGTTCTCGCTTGTAAGGCTAGCTGGGCATAAGGGGCCAGAACAGCTGCAAGCCTCAGTAGTTTGGAACAGGGGTCGCTAAAGGGCACGGGGTCCCCATCAGTGGCTGCTTGTCCCTCCTGTCTTGCCAGGGCCTGTCTGCACTGCAGCTGGAATGCTGTTTGCCTGTGGCACCTGGGCTTCGCAGAGAAGCCACTGCCCTTGTGCAGCCCACTCATGCTGTGGAACGAGGCCCTCCAGCATGTGCCTTGTCTCCGGGGTCTAGCATTCACCAGATCTCAGGAGTTCTCAAACAAGCCTTTAATCTCGCATCGCAACATCAACAGCTAATGGAAAAAAGCTCAGCTTGGTCTAGGCTTGGGGTTTACCCAGCCAGTGTAGGCCCTGAATACCCCAGTCACCAGGGATGCCCCTTTTAATCTGAGTGTAGAGCCATTGTCCAATCAGAAACCAGAGAAAATGCCATGGAGTCCAGATGACAGCATGATTCTCTCTTCCTCTCAGTATTGGGGCAGCTGTGCTCCCTCAGAGGGGGTAGGCATGCCAGAGGCTGCAGAGGAAGGCAGAGAAAGTGTGGTTACTCCTAGGGGCCCTGGTGCTGCCTCCTGCTCTTCCCACCCTCTCCAATGGACCAAGAGGGGCGGGATGGCTTGGAATGCAGCTAGTTCCCTGCAGCGCTGCGGTGGTGGGTCTGCAGGAGATGCAGTTTTACAGTCGACTTAGGGAAATGATGTGGCTGGGTCCCATAGCTGTTGGCTTTCAGGGATGGCCGGCTTGGGGCAGGGGGAGAACTCTCACTCTCCCCTCAAACCCTTTCATCTCTTCCTTCTCTGCCCAGAGCTCTGAGCCCCCAAGGCAGGGACAGAAGGGGCAGTCACCAGCTGGGAGAACTTCCAGGAAACCCTAGAGCCTGCATGGAGCAGGGCCCAGCCAATGACACTCTCCTCTCAGTGCTCCAGTGCAGTATGAGGGAGTGCTGGGCTGCCAGGGGAAGGGGGGTGTCTCCTCACCGTCAGTGCTGGCACCACAGTGCTGACCTTAGACTCACTCTCAGTAGGTTTCAGAATTAGCGCCCCAGTGAGGTGCTGGGGCAGCTCCAGGCTTTCTGCCAACTCGCAGCTCTCGCTGTAGGGGGAACATTGCTTCACAGCTGGGGGAGGGGCAAAGGTTCATTTCTCCACTGGGAGTTGTGGCCAAGGGCTGGAGCCTGCACCATAGGGGTGGAGATGCCCGCGATCTGCCGGAGCCACTCAGAGAGAACCCAGGGCCCCCTCATTCCCTCAGCTCTATGCCCAAAGCTCCTTCCAAGCCAAGGGGAGGGGGCCAACCCAGGAGACTGGTCACAGCAGAGCCTGTTTTGGGGAGATTTACTATTTCGAAGTGACGATATCACTGGGCAGCCACTGGGAAAGCACCACACACAGATCTGCTGCTACTTTGCACCTGTAGCCCCTGGAAAGGGGCCCCAAACCAACCAGTGGGTGAAGCTGGGGTCTCCCTCATGCTCCAGCAGTGTCTCCAGCACCACAACAGGGGGACTTAGCCCCAGGGACTTGGCCCGCTCCCAGCGCTGCAGCCGGGTGATCCCTGCCAGCAAGAGAGTGAAGGGTTAATGGGGACGAGATTGCAGGATGGCAAGGACGGTCCAGGCATGCGCCATCATCCCACCCTGAAGCCAAAGATCCTTGGCATGGTGGGCAGCAGGCTCAGCCCTGGGCAGGGAGGATGGAAATGGTACCTCCCCCCAACTTTGATGGGGGGTAGCCCTGGGAAAATGGGAGTCATTGTGGGGCAGCTGTAGCTCCACCCCTACCCCCAGAGGGGATCCTCAAGACATGTTTAACCAGGCAGTGTAGTGCAGAGGTGCTGCCACTGAAGGCCCATTGGGTTCCTCAAGGAGCTGACACCTTTCCCAGCAGGTGGAGCCTGGGCATTCAACGCTGCTCTGCAGGAATCCGACTGGTCTTTGGGGGGCCTGAGCCCAATGGGATTCCAGCTGCTTGGTTGAGTCAATGACCTTTGCATCTAACGGTCCCTGCGCTGGTTGGAAAAGCTGCCTGGTATCACTGGCTGGGGTGCCCTGGGGACAGGGATGGTCTCTGACTGGAGGTCTGGCTCAGTTGGGCAGAGCTCATGGTGCGTTGCAGGAGCCCAGCAGTTGGGTCTTGGAGGCGCTAAGGTGATGAGACGGGCCCTTGAGGAAGCACGGGATGCTTTTGGGTGTGTGTGCGTGCAACTCACTGACAGGCCCTCCAAGGGACTGTTTTCAAAATGGGGCACAGCACCCATCCTGTGGCTGGGTGCTGGCTCTGATCCAGCCCCAGGCCAGAGGGAGTCGTTGGCTCATGGGGGCAGGGAATAGGACAGCCTTTCCCCTCTAAGAGGTGTCGTCTCCGATCCAGCCAGAGTTGAGCCCCGCTGTGCAGTTTGGTAGCAGTGGGCAAGGTGGTGTGGCATTTATGGCCATTGGTCCATCACTGTGTCCCCCAGTTTTTGGCCCTCTTGGCCAACCAGGGATGGGAAAGGGAGCAGCCTGGATAGGCAAGGCCCTATGGAGCAGAGTAACTGTGATGATCCAGGGGCTTCATATTCCCTTCCCCCCTCCTCCAGTGGTGTAACCCAAAGGGCCCACTTGTCCTGGGTGAGCCAGGGGAGTGGGATAAGTGCTGAGGAATGAAGAGAGCCTTGGAGGGCTGCTGGGGTGAGCCTGGATGCAAAGCAGGTGGGCTAGAGCCCACTTCAACCCCCTGTGGCTATGCCCCTGCCCCCATGCTGCACTGCAAGGGGCCAGACCCCTCAGCAGGAGCCTGCTGGTCTCATGAGGTGGCTCTGTGTAGCCCCACTAGCTTAGGGACAAGGGGCAGAGCTCTCCCAGGGCAGGGAGGGGGGCGGAGCTCTTACAAGTGTGGGAGGCAAGGAAGAAGGACTCTGCAGTTCAGGGGACAAGGGCTGGGCTCTTACCAGGACAGGATGGAGGGGTGAGGGCATCACCGAGAGGGAAGGGGGCAGACTTTGCTAGTGCAGGAGAAGGCGATGAGGCTAGCACCAGTGCGTATGTGCACGGGGGAAGGGCAGGGAAGCATGGAAGATGTGGGGCTCTCACCAGTGCAGGGTCCATACTCCCAGCTGAGGTCAAACTGTCTGAGCATCTCCAGCGGGGCCGGGTACAGGGAGCCACCCGGGTGGGAATCAGGTGGATCCGGTGCAGCCTCTGAGCCATGGGGACAACGCGCTACATCACTGTGGAAACAGGGCCAGTCCCCCAGCACATGCCTCCTCCCCAGTGTAAGCTGGGAACACTTGGCCTGGGCCCAGCAGCTCTCCCAGGGCCCAGCTGGAGGGGCATGGCTTGGGAACACAGGCCAGTAACGTGGGCTGGCTCACCTCCACCAGCCAGGGGGCAGCTGGGTTACTCTGGGTCTATGGTTCCAGATCTGGCTGTCTCCAGGGACCCTGGCCCCTGGCTCTCCCCCACACCCCACAGGGATAAGGTCACTCCCAGGACCTCAGTCTAAGGCACCCGGCAGCCCCAGCCTGACCACACTTGGGGGGGTGTGGGGGGGGGGGGACGACGACACAATGAGCAGCACAGGAACCTGTCCCTGAGACAGCTCAGTCCCCTGCAACCTCCCACGGCTCCTTTCCCTTGAAACCCCCAACCCAGAAAGAGCCCTGCCCTGCCCCACCTGACCTATTGAGGCAGTTCTGCACCCCCAGCTTCTGAGCCACACACCCCCAGCTCCTGCTCTACCCGCGTTCCCAGACCCGGCTGGGGTAGGAGCCCATCTTCCGCAGGCCTGGGATTCACCTGGCTGTAGGCTCCCCAACTTGGTGTCCGGGTCCTGCCGCTGCTTCTTCACCACCGGGAAGGAGTCGGTGATAAGCCGCTTCCTGCCCATGGCTCCCGGCTGCAGGAGGGACGAGAAGGGGAAAGTCAGTGGGGGAAAGGAGGGCGGGGGAGGGGAATGATGCCCACTAAGGACCGTGACACTTAACTACTCCCTCCTCTCTGCTAGTCCTGAGACCTCCCCCCCGCTCTAACCAC